ACTGAGGTTGAGTCATGTAAAAGCTGCTGTTCTCTCAAGTTCTCTCTCTAATTTATCATGTTGCTTTTTCCCTTCATGTACTCTTTCACGTTTATGATTTATTCTTACTTAACACTCTTTGAAGTTCTTCCCATTATCAATTATCTACTGTTGCTATGTTACCCATGGGACTAGCACATGGATAATGTAACAAGGGGTCCTTTTTCATCGTGACTGTTGGTGCAGTGAATTTCCATTCAGTCGAAAAATATTGATCCATTCCACAGCGAATGAGCTTTGGCTAACAACTTTGTCCAAAAGAGACGATCTAGCGCCTTTGTAAATATGGGCAACCAAGGTAGTAATTGTGTAGACCTATAAATTTGTACATACTCACTTCCTCCGGGCGTTTTTTCATCTTTCAGCTATTTGATCATATAACACTCGTGAATCAGAATTTTAGCGTTGGGTGTCTGGGATTATAGCCTTGGATATATCTGGACCTGACACTTTTTCACTGAAAAACTCCAGTGCCCTAACTATAATCACTGCTTGACTCCGATGTTCGCTTCTCCGTCCATAGCACTCAAATGAGCGATCACAAAGAGCTGGACTTCATTTTTTCGCTTCGCTGGACAGTATTGGTGATGGGCTGGAACTATGGAGCATCAAGTAGAGATGGATTTTATGGAGCATGCACAATATGCAAAATTTGTGCTTTTCGGATTTTTATTGCTATTTTTCGGAAGGATTTATTCATTTCATGTTGACTCGATAACCCGGGTGAATGCATGGGTGAGGGGTTTCGGGTGATTACTTTGTTCTTCCAATTCTCCGCATACTGTATCGAAGATTGTAGTTGGACTAGTCGATTTTTGGGGTGTACTGTCGTCACTGATGAATTTGCAAGTCCTTTCGAGCAAGAAAAAAGACAGAAGGAACCGTATCCTCCCAGTTTGCACGTTCTTCAAAAGGGATTATTGATTTGCTCTCCTTTTTGGCCCACTTTTTTTTGCTGGAATTTGTTTTTTACCTTTAGCTTTGGTTGAGTATTCAGGAAATTTCGTTGATGGTTAGGAAAGTTAGTTAGTTTTTGAATGAGGAACGAAATTTCGAGAGAACGGCTCAGCAGACGCCAATTTCTTTCATGAACTCTATAAATCATATTTTGAAGAATGACATGAGAGGGAGAGAGCATAAATTGAACTCTAAAGAATGCCTGCAACAAATCACTTGCCCGTTTTACTGAGATAAGCCCTGCTGGCTGTTTTTTTCTGAGGATATGATCTGACTCAGGGGATAATGAGAAGTATGGAATAGCTTCCTCTACTGGCAAGGTACTGCAGGAATTTTACTATTCTTCAGCTCTACATTTGATGTTGTCTTGTCTCTGTGTACTGCTTACTATTTCCTATATACTACTTCCCTTATTCTTTTTGTTCGGAATGGTAGGCTAAAGTAGAATACTGGCGTAAACTTGCCCATGAGCCTCTCCCTCGTCTCTTCTCACCCTTGATTGTGCTGACAGGAAGACCGGTCGTGTTTTAATTTTTCTTTCAACTCACCAACTGCACTGAAATGTCACGCTCATTCCGGCCATATATTCATTTTGTTTCTTTTCCATCGCCGGGGAGTTTTCCGTATAGCTTGCTGCGCTGCTAAGACTCTAATCTCATAGAAATTGTGGTCCTGTACTATCCTCTGTGCGATGCGGCAAGAAATGGAACTAGCACGATTTCAGAAAGTTGCTTATTGTAATTTTATGTCCTAATCGATACTCAGCTCTGTTTTCATTTCCCCTAGAGGATTCCGTAGGTACTAATCCTGGTACTCTGATGCCGGAGTATGTTCCGAAGCAGGAACTGCAACTGTTGGCTTCTACCCATAACGCTAGCTTCAGTTCTCCTCGAATTTGGATGAACTTTTTCCGTCGTGGAAAGAGTCCGGAGGCGACATTTTCTACATTTTTCACCATAACAAAAATTTCCTCAATTCTGATGCCTGAGCAAGCTCTACAGTAGGCGGCATCTACATATGTCTGAGAACCTAAGTTGACGTATCATCTTGCTTTATGGGTACTTTGGTCGTTGTTTGACTGCATTTTCATGACACTGCTCCAAAGGACATGTCGGGTAATGAGGGAGGCGAGGGCGGTGACAATGGCGTTGGCAGTTGTGGCACCGCCGTCACGACATCGATCTTTTCTAGCGCCTGGGTGCAGCTTGGGCGACAACAATTCGTCGATTAAGCCCCGCCGTTCAATTGATGATTTTTTCCACCACTCATTTCAAGTGGACAATTGCTTGGAGCGCCGCACTAATTCAGCTAGCTGCACACAATATCGTCTAATGCGGCCTAGACACGGCCTCATACACACCCACAGATATAGTTGTCTCCCAAAAACGGGGGCGGGAATGTTTGGTGGTCGTGAAGTTCGTGGTGGAAGGTCTGGCGAGGGATCAATGCTAGACTGCGAGTTGCCCTCAAAAGCTTTGAGCTGCCGGCAAGTACACAGCAATCAGGAATATTCCGACTTCTTAATGAGATAGGGCTAACAATTCTCCCTCAAATATCTCCTTCTGTATGATAGGGGTCCAGATACTGGTCGCTGACCGTTTTCAAGTGCTCGTGGTGGATTATTTTTAGATTTTTTGGGTTCAACACCTCTCAAGTATGACAATTGATAGCTGAAATCGAGAAGCATGCAAGTAGCCAGACAATTGGGTATTTGTTCGTGCCTTCTCAGAGTATCGTTTTTCCTGAACTCCTGTTCTTTGATAAATGCTCACGTCAGGACGTCCCCATGAACAAGATCAGGGAGCTCACTTACTGCGTAGCACGGATGCTGAGTTATAGATAAAACTATCTCGTAACAGGCACGTTCTACCTTCTAGCACAGTCTTTCTGAAATGGAAGTAAAGTCGAGAACCAGGGTGGGAGTCAGTACATAGAAAGGCATATAAACCGAATATTCTTCAGTGATAACCAGTGATAATCAAGGTGAGCCAACTTTCGAGAAATACTCTTTTGACTCATCTATTAGTCTGTTCGAGGGCTGGTTGTTTGGGTGGCTGCAGCTCAAAAACTTTCGGCTATGTATCGTTTTAACGACGTGAGTAGTACACCAACTGGCTGGCTATACCCCATCCATCTTCCACCCAGGTGCTCCCCTGCACAGGTCAGAGAAGTTTGTCTACTCTGCAGGTACTTGTGGTCTGTTGGGGTAGGAATTACTACACGAGTTTCAAGTGTCTTCTGAAGCTCCCGAGGAGATAAACCGAGGCAGTACCCAACTGCTTGTTGAGGTAGGACTCACAGTGTCTCCTCTAGGGTCCATTGTTTGTAGTGGGATTTGAAGGCCTAAAAACTGACTGTATATTTGTGCATAAATATCAATCGATTGTCGGTTTCGATTTTATTCATCGATTTTTAAATCTTACCCATGTTAGGTTGTTTCTTGAGTTACTCGCTATTTTCAATGGAGTTTTTATTCTTCCACGGTGTGTAGGCGGACTACTGCTAATTATTGTCTAATTGCATAGCCAGCAGTGTTGCATGAAGAAGTGGGTGGTAGAGGGAGGAGGTGAGCGGAAGTAGCTGAAAGTAACTGAGGCGGAATCGACCTGCTTCCGTGTCTACTAAGACTAAAACAAACCTATGCTTATGCCATTTGTCAGGTGAAAGTGAATTGGATTATTAATGACCTCATGTCCATGGGGATAATGAGTGCAAAACGTTATCGGTGATAGATATGACATCCACCTTTCAATTGCATTCACATGAGATCGCCCCCGGAGATGACAGCTGTGAATTTTCAAAGCTTGGCATTGGAATTGGAGGAGGCGCGTGATTTTTCTGCCACCGACTGTCAGGGTATTCACGAAAAATTTCTTGACACTAGCGAAGGAGGGAGGCATTTCACGGGGATTACTATTCTTTTTCAATAAAAATAAATGAAACTACCTGGTAACTCAGTATATAAGTGCCTCTTCCTCTTAGTCCATATGTGGAGTTGACCGTCTTCAACTCTTGTCCATTGAGCCTCCTCCGCTTTACTTCTTTCTAACTGCTATTTTTGCTAGTATTGGATGGAAACTGACTGGGAAATTTCTAAAAAAATGAAAATCTAGGGGTCTAACTTTGGCAGGCGGTGCAGATTCCAACAAGGAATCGCCGTATTCACCACGTATACTCTCAGCATGAGAAAATCTTGCTTTTTGCTATCCTTTTCCCACTTCCCTCTGAACTTGTCCTGTATCTGATCATTCCTTCATTTTCATTCTTGAAGAATGGACGTAGGTTTTAAAACAATTTTAATCCAGAAGAAAATTTTGACCAAAAAGGCCATCTGCGCGCTTGAGAGGATGGTTCGGTATGGTTTGAAGCCCCTGTTTGGTAGGACATTTAGAGAGTTTCTCCTTCCTATAGTCGTAGCTGCTCCCTTTCTTCCAAGCCTCCAAACGCTGTCGAGAGGAACTTCAGAAGAACAGTTTTTTAGCCTTCGGCCCCATAAACAGCTCCATGAAAGAGCATATGCGTGTTCTCGTGGAAAACCTATTTCCTGCCATCAATAAAATACCCTTTTCGATAGCCGACATCCGCAGAAAGTAGGCTAAACTACAACCATCTAAGGGAGAAATCTTAGAAACCATTTTTAGCGTGAACTACGCCTTCAAAAAAAGACTAATCACCCACAGATCAGCATTGTAATAAACATTTTTAACCCAAAAAATGTTTACATGTGTTCTATGAGGGTTCTTCAGAAAAGAATTAATAAAAGTGTGTTTTTGTTCGATAATATTTGACATCTGGTGTGGCCTGACAGCTGAGAATACTGCAGGTTCTCCAACCTGCTTATGACGTCCTCTTAAGAAAAACAAATCGTGAGCGGGTGGAGAGGAGCCTTGTAGCGGGAATCGAAGAATAATATAATCTACTTTTGAAAACTTTTTAGGAAAAATTGTCAAAAATCGGCTCTGAATGCCACTTCCGGTTTTTTATTGTAACTCTTGTTGTGTAGGTTTCTACGGTTGATGCGGGGTTTCGACGCCGAAGACGTGGAAGTCATACGGAAAGCAGTGGAGTCAGGTGGTGTGGACGCAAAGGTGCGTCTCTTTCTACGTTTATACTTATCATTGACGTTTCCCTCTAAGTTTGAAATTTTTTTAAATCATGCCGGTTTTTCATTCAATACTCGACCGAAACAACTATAATCTCAGGCATGTGCTCCTGGACCACCGATGGACGAACGACCGGACGACGATCAACCCGAAGAGGATTCCGGTTTAATTCCACAAATCGATCGACCAATGAGTATGCCATACTTATGCTGCAAATTGTGGCGATGGAAAGATCTCCAGGTAAACGATTTCGCTCTCATTATGCCTTAAAATTTTTTTTATGATTCTATTAACTTTTTTGGTTTTCATTGTTTTTCTGGAACTTAGTTTGTACTGGTAGTATTGTCCCATAGAGACAATCCCGGTTTTCTTCATTCTTTGTCACTGTTATCCTCTCATCCCTGCTTGCCGAAGTTTCTCCGGAACTCTTCAGAAACCTCGTGAGGATGGTGGTGGGGCCAAGTAGGTGTAGGGAGTTCTAGGCAACTTACTCGAGAATTTCCAGCCTCTAGAAGGCGCTTCAATGGAAGAAAAAGTATTTGTGACCCTGATAAATTTTTTCTAATGGACATGGTGCTATCTATCTATCTTGAAGTTTCTGTCAGTAACTGTTTCTTGGCCATATCTTTGAATTAGCTGCGTCTCATCAAAAAAACTTCTGCATGACATCTTCCAAATCAGCTGCACGCATCTGCTACTTTCATCCAGTCTTTTCTGAATGTCTTGTGGTTATTGCCTATTTTTGTGTTTCTCTTTCTTAAAGTACAAATTTGGTTTTTTTCGTGGTAACTACGCGAGGCAGGGCTCCCATGAAGTTATGCTAACGATGTGGTGTAGTAATAACCTTTCCATGGAACGACGCATTCAGCCTAGCGTCGTTTCATGGTATGTTCCATTGAGGGATACATTAGAATTAGTCTAACTTCTGGATGAGTATACGGTGCTTCTGGAGTGGTGTAAAATATCCCCATCCCATAAACCACAAGTAAACATAAATTGGCTACCGTTGTAGATCATATCTGTGCAGTCTTGCGACGAGCAGTTGCTTGGAGGGAACTTAACAAAAACTGGATTTCCTACGGTCCCTAGCCGATGGGTCTTTCGGGTGTAGAGAGTCACTCAGAAAAGAGACCTAGCGACAGGTGGTGGCTGACGATTTTGTTGCTCCAGCACCCAGATCGCCGTCCTTTACCGGCTGAGTACGATTGCTTATCTTTGGCTACCGATAGAAACGTACTTCCACGGGGGATTCCAAGCCGGGTGGAGCTGCATTGCGCCACGTCTGACTCGCTCAGCAGCTGCTGTCTAAGGTGTCAAAGTTTTTGTCGGGATCGTCAACGTCCCGTGCGTCAAGTGATATGGAGCCGTTCGTGGCAGAGCATATCATCACCATCGTCTGCTAGATAAATGTCTGTTGGGGGACGATTATTGAGAGAAATCCAGTCAAATGCATATAGCCATCAAATGCGAGTGGCCCTAAACACATGTTCAGAGCTTTTCTTAGAAGAAATTATATCTCTCCAACGGAGGCAATAATTACAAGGAAACTCATCACTCGCTGTCATACCTGCGCCAGGTGTAATAGCGCGCTCGGGAAGAGCTTGGAGGGATTTCGTCGTTTCTTGTTCCACATCTTGAAAATCTTCTCATAAGGTCTTTTCCATTCAATTTATTTTTTTGTCTTAGAACAGAGCTATGAAGGAAGAACTTTTTTAGCGTTGATCAATCCCATTTTGGCATTCCAGTTTCCCCTTTTACAACTACCATCTAAATTCGTAGTGGCGTTTTAAACATGTGTGTGTGGCCTATACAAAGACTTACACTGGCCTGCCATTGTATAAGTCGGTGCTTTGACCTTCCCAGACGAGTCTGGTACCGTTGTTTCATCGACCCTGGTGTGTGGAAAGCTGGATCTGGTCGGGGCGGATAGCGATCAAGAATTCGATCTCCTAGACTAGCAAGAGCATACGCTCAGACCAGGACTAAAGTGTAAGAAGTATACGATCTTCTGGAAAATGGGATCGGGTTTTTTGGCATTTGTCATGGTATATACTCCGCAAACCAACTGCTGCCTAATTACCACAAAAAAAGTAGAACACTAGGATCCCCTCCTCCCGCTTTTTGTGTTGAAGCAACACGTGCGAAACTTTATAAGAAATTTCCAAAATTTTGACAAATCTGGTTTTCTTTAGGATTCTGAAAGAATGGAGCACGTTGCTGTTCGTGCACGTCATTACGTCTTTCAGTATATTCAATTGAAGCAATTTGCAGTGCGCCTTCATTCTTCAATTCCTTTGTCTTTTTCATCGCTATTGTCTTTTTCTTTCATCTCTTTTCATCATTTTCTCGTCTATTCTAGTGGAAATGATGCAGACTTCTCACCAAAAGTAGCGTCCATCCTTGAAGGGATAGGGACAGGTGTACTAGTAAACACTTTAACTTTGGAGTAAACTTGATTCTTACTCATTGGGTTGGCTGCAGTCCTTTCTGCATGAGCTCTTTTTATCACGTCATTCTTTCGTGGTTTGATGGACTTGGCCATTCAGCAGCTTGCCATTCATCCCTTAGCACCAAGGGTTCTCACTTCAAAATCATTTCAGTTTAGCCTTCGGGAAACCTATGCCTTCACACTGGCTTTCTTCACAGGAACTTCCCTTCATGACCACTTTACAGGAGAAGAGGTTCAGATATAGGGGAAAGGTATACCAACGATTACCAAAGATTATCAACAATTAACTGGGGTTTCGTCCTTTCAATACATTCAACCTAGCAAAAAAAACCTGCTCAATGGAGCCATGCATTAGACTGGTATACGCCATGATTCAACATACTGACTAAAAATTCTCAGTGGATGGAATTTAAAAACTTCCTGGAACGCAGGGGAAGACGAATGTGTACCTCAATTGTCCTATCAGTCCCTGACGCATGTGTGAATATTTGAAAATCACTCATGATCACACATCGGAAGATTGATGGTTTGCACTAATCAGCAGCGGCACCGGGTTGTCAGATATTTTGGCTATCCAGAAGCTTGGGGAAGTTTTTCTCAGCTCATGGTAGTGTTTTGTCTCTTTAGACTTACTAAATTAGAACTTTTAAAGGCGGTATGAACTGATTCATCGGCTATTTGCTCCGAAGATTTCAAAAAAAGGAAACTATTAGCTCATTGCGATACATCCACCAATTCAGTACCAGTCAGAAAAACAAGCACGAAAGGACCCATAAAAATGATTGGGACCACCCCTTAAGAATTCGCATCTACACAACTATACGTACATTCTTCCATTGTGGAACAGTTGTCGCACTTTTCTCGCGACAATCACGTCCGACAAGACACTCGGGAATTCAACCAATTCGTCAACGCAACACCTGTCATTGATTGATTGATTGGCAATCATTTTGAATATTGATCAATCACCAGTTGCGATATGTCATGTGGGGGCGGTAAAGAAATACGAGCCAAATGACAAGGTCAAAATAAAAGTGCAGTGTGGTTTGTCACTCCGCCATGCTTTCTGTACCACCTAAAGAATCTGATGGATTCAAAGCTTGTGAGCCTGTAGACATTCGGGATCTCGTGCCTTCAGGCTTGCCCATATTAGGGCCAGAGTTTCTACCCGCGCGACTCTGAAGAAACGAGAGGCCCACCTGACACGTGTGCGATCCCATCTATGGACCATGTAGGTGTTACGGCGCATTTCCCCGCCTTATCGTGGCGGTATCGACTGTCCAAGGAGTGGGCATTCCCTGATTCATCCTGATTCACTCATTCTTTGAAAGACTGCCTAGGAGTATTAAGAAGTAATCGATGCAAATTAAGAAGGTTCACAGATTTCAGTAGTGCTTTTTGTCAACCTTTAAAAGTTACGGTAGTCAGAATTTGAGCACGTTACGACACCCTTTCATGAAGCATTCATTACTGCTTCATTTCCTTGAATTTATAGCCGTCGCGTACAAGGGCTGCATTAAGTGCAGAAGATTTATATGAGATTCGAATCGTAGATTTATTGCTATAAGCGGCCGAAAGCCAAATATGTCGAGAAATCGTCCATGTCTAGACATATATGCTTATACATCCGTTTCGATGCATAAATCACCACCGTCCAGAAGTATAGGAAAAATGGTGAGATCGGCAATAAGCTAAAAAACGCGAACTGAGGTAGTGAAATGGGAGAGAAGGAGAGCGAAGGGAAAAGTCAATACACTCCCATTTTTGGCAGAGATGTGAGGGGACTGGAGAAATAATACCAGTTTATTATAAAAAATATTTAAAGCACTACCGTGACTTGGTAATCGTTGTCTCCTTCAAAAGAGTTAATTTCCTTTAATTCTTCCATTTTTTCAACCAGCCTTTTTCTAGTTATCGCTTCTCCTGCGGTTTTTTTGTAACCGTATTCGCCACTATTCCAAAAAAAGTCACTAATTCAATAGATTATTGGAGATTCTGCATAGTAATTAGAGATGTTACTACGGTGATCAAGTAGTAGCCAATCGTTGTATGTCCGGGCCTTCCATCTGCCGATCTGTAACCTGAGCCTGGCCCCGGCTTCTGTTCAAACTTTACTAGTTTTCGGCTTGCCCAAACGGAGCCGTCTTAAGCAGAATTTCCTAGAAGATACTGTGTTCAGGTCGATGCAGCTCTCCATCGCTTAGAGGCACTGCCATGGTGTCGTTTCGGTCGGGTGACGATCAACAACGCCACCGTATCCTGTTGTAATCCCTACCATTATGCATTATGGATACGACCGGAGACGAGTTCTAGTGATGAGGATTCACTACGTGACAGTAGTCAGCGTGAAGTGCCCATGGGTAATGGTCATATCGCCTACAGAAGTCATATGGGTAAGTCATTTTTTTCATTTCTTGTTTTGTAACGGTTCGAAGCAATTTCATAGACGTTACGATTCATTCAATATTCGTTCACGCCTTAAGTCCATCCACCCCTTTTTGCATAGATTTCTTCCACGGAGATTTTCCTTCTTTTTGATAGGTCTATGAATCACATTTAAGCTTCTCAAACTTTTTTTTTGTTTCACAGCTTTGCAAAAACTATCCTGTTGGACTCTTTTGTGATTGGCTTGCTCAGGAAACACCTCTAGAGAATAACTATGAAAAGTTGCATTGGAAATCCGTAAGCTTTCAGATTCCGGAGAGTTAGCCTCGTTCGCTTTCTCCATGACCCAGATTTTTCGCTTGATTGTTCTATTGCATTCTTTACTTAGTTCTTTATCTTATTTTCCTTTGAAACGTTTCATATTTGTGGGTTTTCAGTGACTCCTGATGTTGATCTTTCGTTGCATCTACCTCGGGTATTTTCCGTCGATTTGCCGTCGAATTCACCTCCGTCAGTGCCGCCGACACCTCCTGAACCGGAGTGTTCCCCACCCGGCACCTCGACTTCCTCCCCCTTACACATGATTCATCACCATGCTGCAGGTAACGTTTTGGTCAGCATCTTCCGTGTTTATTTATTGGTACAGTTCTTTTTGTTTCCATTGTCAGCCTTATTCTTTGGTCGTGTGTTATGGTTATTCAATCACTGGGCAAGTATCGATCACTAATTTCTTTGGTTAAATATAATATTTTATTACTAAAAGACATGAGGCCCTCGATCTCAGATTATCCGTAACTTAGTAATATGCCGTCGCTCGAAAAAGAAAAAAAAANNAAAAAAAAAACACGGAACTCGGTATTAGCTTGCGTTACAGAAGTCATTCACGGATTATAGAAAGGAACCTTCAATTAGCACCCATTCATAGGAAGAAATCTGTTGTGTGGTGCGTCCTTACGGGACTCGAAGTTCCGAATACTTTATTGGGATGATGTCCTGTGCTCTGTTTAACGATCGCCCTTCAGAGATGTCTCGAGTCAAACGCACTGAGAGGGCAAACTCTATGCTCTTCCACGAATAGCTCTTTTGTCGTTTGGTTTTGTATCGGGGCGAATAGCCTCATCACGATGAAGGCAATTTTTCGCCTTCATACATCGGAATTGGCGCCTGAAATTGGCCTACCGGAAGTGCTGTTAGCGGTCGCCGACTTGGCGATGCAGTGTTTGGCTTCCGGACCCTTTTGTATGTCAGTTCCGTTGGCCGCAGTTTCCCAGACATGTAGTTCGACGATACACCCAATACTTCCACGAAGCAGTGGCGATCCGTGATTGAGCTCCATTGTCGAGAAACATCGATTTCCGTATTTTTGAGCACAGCCTACCCTTCACATCGCAACTTTCATTCTTTTCAACTTCGGGAGAAGAGGTTACAGTTGAGCACAAAAAATCTAGGGGGAGGGAGTGAAGGCCCATTACATATTTCCCTATCCCGAATAAATCCAGGCTCATGATGAAAATGAAACAGTTGTAAACTTGTAGAGCCCGTAGATTTTGAATTACAGCCCTTTTTGGAAAGCTTTGTTTTAGACCAGAGCACAGCTGTTCACGTTTCAACTGAGTGCGAGTGCCAAACACTAGCATTGCCACTCCAAGCCATTTCTCAATGTAGAAGTGAAAGCGTTAGCCGCAATACTCACGGGTGATAGGGATGATGAATTCGAGGCCGCGTGGTGGGCATCGGTCACGTTGTTTTCGGCTGAAATCCATCCAACGAAGATTTATGAGAACAGAGACGTCTTGATCCGATCTGTCCCATGGACTGTATTCCAAATTCGTTAACTCCGTGAGTTCTTAGAGGGTGAAGTCTTCGGCTCTGAATCAGTTTTTGAGTTTTGCCCCGTATTTGACTTCTATTCGGATTCTTAGTGACGTTCGAATGCAGATGTCACCTATACAGGGTGACCCACATGAAATGTGACGCAGAAAACTAGCATCAAAATTATACAAGTCAAACCAGATAGGAAATATTTACTCCTATACAATCATCACAAAATTGTAAACAACAAATAACATTTCGCATGTAGAATGACCATATTTCGCTTTAATGCAAACATCCAACCTCTTTCGGAAACTTTAAAGAATGCGCACAATCGCTTTCATCCCCCGGTTCTACAAGAGAGCTTTATTTCAGAGAGTCTAAAGACCCGTGATTGAAAGCGGAGGCTTTTTGCTCCAGAATCGTCGATACAGCAAAATCCACAGGATTGAGATCGGATGGTTTCACAACAATGCA